ACCGGGGAAGGGTGAATCTGAGAGCTCAGCCCACAAAACAAGGTAAGAAGGTTTTTCTGGAGGCACTGCAGATCCAACCTGGCTGGTCTGCAGAGCTCTTTGTGTGACTGCTTTACTCCAGACTCTGAGAAAGGCCAAGACGGACAGAGGTGGGCTGTCCCTTTCAAGCCACCTGGCCTTGAAGCCATAAGCCAAGAGAGGAAGCTGGAAATCCTACTGGGGAAACTAAGGCAGAGCAGCTGCCGGACTGTCTCTTGCCATGGAGTGGCAGTCTAATGCCATGTTACAGAGCTGAGTTCTTATTGTTGAGATCACCAATACTATCTTTTCATCTCAGTGGAAGACTTTTTTTTTTTTTGTAAGTCTTAGAAAAAAAAAGTTGTGTTTGAATGGACGTTTCTAAATCATCCCTTATGGTCAGTCCAGCCCTTGGATTCTCACTCTCCTGCTGTGGGGCTAAAGAGCTCCACGGCGTTACGTGCTTGCTAGCTGCACCCTGCGGTTTGTGCTTTTGCTGTGCACCATAGATCTTGGCTACCCTGTAAAATTAGAGCTACCTATGAAGTGAATTATTCACTTCTACAGCTGAGAAGAAACCACATTGATTTACTGTTTTTTGTCTATTGATTTTTGGGTAGTCCCGAGAATGTGCTCCCATAAAAGGCCCATAACTTTGTACTCAGTCTGACAATTTACAAAGGGTGTTCTTGCCTCCATGGCCCCTTGCCAAATTACTCCAGGGGTGTACAACTAAATCTAATTTCTATGATTAACAGAGCACAAAGTAGATATATATTACACAACTCTCTCCCCACATTGTTTTTTGGGGGTGCCAAAATTGCAGTGTGGTGTCTGGGAACAGCTAAGAAGTGGGAGAGTTCCCACCTGACAGATCTTAGCTGTTAAAAAGGCAAAAAGAACACAGATGGTTGAAAGCAGATTTTTGTATAAAATGAGCAACCAGTTTTCACCTGCATATCTAAGCAGGCAAGTTTGTTGCAGATACCAGTACAAAAGTAGGCCTCTGAAAATGCTTCTGAGAGAAATGTGTTTTCAGATGTTATAGTGACTGACAAGCAATACCACACTGGGTATTCGGGGCTCACAACTTTTGCACAAGGGGGACTGTGTAAGGAAGGCTGCTATGGGCTAAGATTCAGTAGTGTGCCTTTTGAAAGGCAGATACTGAAAATGCAGAGGCTCTCCACTGAAAAATCAATAATTCCTCCTTCTATCCCACCGCTTACAAGAACACCTAGCATGTCTAGAGGGCAAGCAGAGCGTATTTTCAGGGTAGCGTTGTTATCCCCAAGATATTTTACAGGGATTATCACTATCATTGTCCCCATTATAATGGGGAAAAAAAGCACACAGCTTACTGGCAGGCCTTAGAAACACCCTACTTCCTTGCTTTGTGCAGTCCTCTTTTGTAGTAACTCAAATCCCAGAACTGTATCCACACTCAAAGAGGAGTGGGACTTTACCTTTTCCATTACAGTCTTTCTCTTTCCTCATGCTGGCCTGGGAAACCTAGGTGATCTTTTGGAAAATTTAAGGAAGTCCAGGTGAGCTCCTGTAAATATGTCTTGGGGACATTGATGCCTGGCTGACTACACCCCTGGTCTTCTAACTCTCCTGGCGTCCCCCAGCAGCAGTCTGTTTATCTTCTAAGCAGCAGATAACCTGTTCTTTCAGTCCACCCTGTATTCCTGCAGATGAGCTAAAACCTAATTCCACAGAGAGCTCCTAACCAGAGGACACTGATCCCTTTCATTCACTGTGGAAGAACTATGCTCATCTGGACTTTAATTAAATTTTACCCATGCATTATCTTTCCCTTGTCCTGTCAGAAAATTTTCTCAGTTTCATGGAAGGGGCCCCGAGCCCATGGTCTTCCTGCTATTTCTGCCTGTGGTTTATACAGAGCGATGAACAGAAGTTAATTATCAGTAGCAAGAGGTGCAGGTGAAAGTCAGGGCTATAAAACTGGGAAGGATGTTCTCACCATACTTCAGTGTGACAGAACTCAGATTAATTCTGGGCCGGTATTGTTTTCTCCAGAAGTGACTGGAGGGCAATTCAGACCTGGGCCATAAGCCAGGTGGGCTTCTGGCATATTTCCCACACAAAACTGTGACAGAAATGTCTGAAAACTTTAGGGTGAGGTGAATGGTTTTAGAAAACACCTGGGGTCATGAGCTGATACATTTTCTCCATTGAGCTTCCCAGGGATACAAGAGAGGTAAGCTTCTGAAGGAGAAAGGAGAGACAGAGGGCAGATGTCCCTCCAGATCCCTAAGTCTAGCCTTATCTATAAAGGCAAGCAATTATCACTCAGTAAAATACTTTGAACTGTTCTCTCTGGTTTAATACTGCGTATAAACCAAAAGCAAATCTGGGAGAAAATTTTTTTTGTGAAGGATTTGCTATTACATGTCTTTGTCTGACATCCCAAGTCCTAGGTACAGAGAATGAGATGGCTCATACCTCACGCTCTGTGCAGTTCTAGGATGACTCCTCTCCTCCCGTGGCAGCTGAGGCAGTGCATATAAAACAGGTCAGCTGAATCGCCTCTAGCAGTTGGCTCTAACACACTGGACATGATCTTAGTGTTGGGGTCCACTCTTCAGAAAGAACATCACCCAGCTTGTAAGTGCTTAGCATGCAGAGGCTAAGGCAGGACACCAAATCAACAGCCCTCTTCGGACCAGCATCCACTTCTCACAGGGAAAACTTTCCTTCATGCTGCATATTCATTCATAATATACTCTCAAGAGCTGCTGAACTTATCAAATTATCTGGAATGACATGCACAACGCCAGGTCTAACGAAGCAAGAAGACACACAGTTTCTATGTCTGTCTGATTTACTTTAAAAAGGATGACATTTATTCATGATTTGATGACTCCACCAAACATTATGGGCTCCTCTAAAAATGTCAAAAATTGGATGCATCCACGCATACTGGAAAAATAATACAGTCAGTGAATTGACTTGTTATTGAGAGGAAATTAGAAAAATGTGATTTCTGACCCAGGGAAAAGGGAAACAACATTTTAAGCTGTATGTAAACAGATTGAGTGTTGGCATTGTGCAAAACTAAGACATAAAGCAGAAAACTAAGAGGATTTGAGCAAAGAAAGTTAGAATACCAAGTCAAAGAACACCTCTGATGTAGTATTTATGCCTGTCCTTGAAGACTATACGTCTCAAACTTTATGTCTTACCAGTTTGGTAAGAGCAGGATGTAACTATGCGATTTCTTTGAACACAAAGTTCACACAAATGGGAGACTTCCCACTGCCTCCTTTCTCTTCAGTCATTAAAATGCACTTTCTGCTCTACTCCCTTGATAAGCTTTATTTGAAGATAGCAAGAGCTTTTCACCATTTCACATTGTGGCCTTCTGTAATGACATCTCCTGGCTTTTTAGTAGTAAAATGCAAAATTCTCTTCCAAAAAGGTCCCATCCCTCAAAATGTCCACCACCACTGCTTGCTGCCTCCTACCTACGGCGTGGTGCATGCAAGCACAGAGTGATGGATTTGGAGTTCACATCAATGTCTGTTGAAGTTTGTACCATTAATGTCACATCCACCATTGCCCGGATATTCATGTTTCTGGTGTCGCACATAGAGAAGAAGGGAAGAGCACACCCTAGAAGATGACCACAGAATCTCAGACATTGACAAAGTTGAAAACTCTCAGGTGATTAGCCACCTCTGGGCTCAGTTCTGCCACAGGTCGTTTAAATCCATCTTGGTTGTGCCAACCTAACACTGCAGGTCAGGAGTACTTCATTAAATCTCTCTGCCTTTCACAACAGGTCTGCTAATAATTATTTTTAAGGTCTCACAGTTTGAGAGCCTGTAGAGTCTAAGAAGTGTCTCCTGTGGTTAATGTTCAGCGGCCCGGTGATGCAGGGTAAATGCTGACTTCCTGAAATGATTCCAGGAAAGGGAATCTGCAGCACTACAGGTGAGTGCCTTTGATACAGAGCCCCTGTTCAGGCAAAGAAATGCAATCCCTTTTCCCTCAGTTTGAGGCTAGGTACTGCCAGCGCTAATTTAAGGAAAGGTACTTGAGAAGGGGAAACTGCAAAGGCCTGGAGCAATACAGTTCCCACTGTTACTATCACAACCATCTCACAAAGGCTTTCCAGAAAGTCACACCATCTATTTTTATTAACAGCTGCAATGAAGCTAATAGCTTGCATTAGGGTCATTTTGATGGTGGGCAGAAGGCCTGAATTCTATGATATTCAGGCTGCGGTATCTTCTAGAACAGCTTTTTCACGCTCTGTGCCTAATTCTCCACTGCAATTAAATTTCACTTTACCCCAGTAATGGGCCTTCAACTGGGAATACAGCAATTCATAGCTCTTTGCACAGTGCAACGTAAAGGAAGATTTGTGTGAATAAGAATGTGCTCATGTATGCTCTAACTAAACACAACTGCAAAGCAAAGCAGACAGAAAGGAGTGGTTATTTGCTGTTCTCTGCCTAAGGTATTTGTGTGGGGAGTTTGTTTGTTGTTTTTTTTTTAAATAACTGAAGAGCAGAAAAGGATGATGTCAGTGGGTCTTACCCCTATTTTTTGTTCAGTTTTAGAAGTGGACCAACAAATAACCATGACCTAAATTCTACAAGACAGAAGTGCACACAAGCACATTGTTAAATACCAGATTCTATTTTAGTTCAGACAATTTCAGCAGAACTGTACACATACATCTTCTTTAAAAGCAGACTACAAAAAACTAATTCAGCAATACAGGGAAAATTAACGGTAAGTTCTAATATTTAAGACAATGAAGTCAACCTTTTAACTTGTCTTCATACACGGATAATGCAGATATGGCATTAAAATTCAGACATATATCTGTCAAAGACCAAAAATATAACAGCACTTTTAAATGAGCATCAGTTTTATCCTGTCATTGAAGTGAAGCTGGAATGTGGATGGAAGAAGCTTCAAACTGGGCATGTGCAGACCCTGCCACCTCCTGTATTTAAATGGGAGCTGCTGCTGCTGCCCTTTGCTAAGCTGAAGTGAAGCAATCTGAAGCTCTAGTGAGAAACTGCACTGGATCTCACATTATTCCAGAGAATCTAACGGCTTTACACACACACACACACACACACACACAAAGGTAAATTGGCTGCCCTAAATTCAGAGGAGAGCTCTTTGGTTTTGGTTAGATTTTGTTCACCTGAATAATCAACCCATTCAAAGGGGGATCTCTTGTCCCTCTGAGGACTTCAGCAGCACCAAAACTGTGGAGTCCTTCAGTACATGGAATGACTCGGAAGCCAAAGTCTACAAACTGATGGACCTGCCTCCTAGAGCCCCAACAGTAAGTATTTGCTGTCACTAAAAGCTGTAGCAAGTAGTTCTGCTGGCAAAGCTGGCATTTATAGAAATGTAAATGGACAGTTACGGTGCATGTACACATTTAATGCTGTAATGCAATAATGAACAGCATAATGAAAACTTTAAAATCTTCTTTTTTATTCCTTTATTTATTTACTGCAGAAAGGACTGTAGAAGCAGTGTTACATGGGCAGAAGACAGGGAGGAATGTCGAATGACAAAGTGCAACGGATATGTTGTGAACTATCGGAACAACATATTCTTGTGCATTAAACAGCTGTTTAGCAGCTCAAACACAATGCTCTCTCTCTTATTATTCAAGATGGAAATCCCCGTCATTTCTGTAATAGTCTGTAAGTGCAGTGGAGTGCTAATGTAAATGTTAGAGTTGTTATTTGCAGTTACCCAAGAGAGCTGTTCAGGTTTCCCCAGGTAAGTTCTACCAAAGCTCCTTCTCAGTTGTCAAATACTAAACAGAAAGAAAATTTCCTTCTAAGTGTGAAGGTGAGAATCTGTTGTGATGACACTTCAGGATGGAATTTTGTGGGCTTGCTAAAAATATTTCCTATTCCACCCCACAAGCCTGAACCAAAGGAGTTCAGAAGTCCTCTTCCTGACTATATACCTCAGTATACTAGTAGGACTACAAAGTTTTGTTCACCTGCTGTTTATTCAAAAGTCTGCTTAAAAGTAACGAATAAAAAAAAATATGACCCAAGCTAATTTTTCATTTTCAAAATCAGAAATTCAACTTAAAATCTTGGTGTGGTCACACCAGGCATTTTGGCATGGCCCACATTACGCAGTGGACACTTTAAAACTCTGTGCAGGTTTCAAACACTCCAGAAGGTTTTATGCATATAGGATGTTGGATTGGGTGTTTCAGTTTGATCCCAGTTTATAAGGAAAGCCCAGTAAATATTTTATTATTTGCAGAGTAAAAATGCATTGTTTATTTCTTTAATAAAACCTGTGTGCAGTGTATTAAAGAAAAATAGACAAGAGAAGCATCCCGAGCAAGGTCCTTACAAACTAAATTAGATGGATAACAGGAAAACGGATAGCAGAACATAGCAGGGAGGGAGAAGAGGGACTGGAGGGCACGTGGCGAAATGGAAAGGGATTCTGGGGACAGAGTGATTTGCAACGGAAAATTAAAAATGGATTTTTTTCCTTATTCTGCTGAAAGAGGTAATTAGCTGTCCATTTCCTCTCTCTCAGCTAAGTGATTGTATTTTCAAACTTTTGCATTTTAATTTGACACAAAGATTGGTTTAAAAGCATTCCAGTACTGAAAGCAATATGTGCTGCTTGTGGCTGAGATTAAATCCGGAAGATAGGATACAAAATCTGCTATCCAAATTGCTCAACAGGACAAACATCATCTATGGCAAGCCCTGCTGTCTACTGGAAAGAGGGCTTAGCAGTTGGCGTCACCCTGCTGAAACCATAATTGAGGTGGGATTACACTCCTCTTTGTGCCGCCTGCCGTCGCAGAGCAAGTGCCTACAGAGGCAAACTCAGAAATCAGAGCAGGGAACTGTGAAGGAAAAGAAGTGTTATCAGTTGTTGGAGGCCTCTTGTAGGTAGGAAGTACAAACACTGCACCTAGAAACCCTAGGAAATTACACTGTTTCTCTTCTGATAATTTTTCTAAACTATATGATTTGCTGTAATGTCAAAGGCCTAACACTACCTTTGGTTGTGTTAATCATACTGTGTAAACAAGTGGCTTCATTACCTGTATTTATAGGAAAATCAAGAACAAAGAAACGTGATATATTGCCAAAGTCAGCGTGGGACTGCCAAAACTGGCAATGTTTCAGAACTGGGCTCTATTCCATTAAAACATTCCTTCTGCAAAACCAAAGCCTACAGTTTGAAACCAGATTAATTCATAAAAGCAAAGACATAGTTGTCCCTATTTCCCTTTCCTTGTCATGTTTTACACCAAATCAGATACAACCCATCTGATGTCCAAGCAGAAGTATCTAAAAAACATCCATGTCCTAGTCTTTTCTGTTCCTGGCTTTTGAAACAATGCCACACATATAAATCAATCAATCAATCAGTCATTCAGAACCAGCATGTTCAAATCCCCAAATGACCTTAGGAGGATTTCTGCCTTCCCTAGCACTAAACTTTGCTTTATACTCTTGCCATCGGGAGAATGTAAGGAGTGGGCTATATCAAATGTGATTCATATTCAGTACAAGTATTAACACCCATGACCTTGCTCCTTCCATCACCACTGTTACCTTCAGTAGGACTTCAGTAATCAACATCTCCAAGTGAACGGTAATTAAGTGATACGATTTTTGTCTTACTCTGAAAAAGAACAGGCTTTATCCCCCAATAACAGTTAAACTGTATTCTTTGTGTGTTGACCTTTTCTCACTTATACACAAATATTTTGCTCGTGCCATGGGCGGGGAGTAGAGTTGGACTTTCCAAAATGGTATGCATTCTACTAGAAGTTATTTGGAGGTCGTCTGGTTTGGTTGGTTTGGGTTTTTTCTCAATCAGTTATGAAATAACTATCTAGAAAACCTTCTCTTTAGGAAAATGTGTATAATAAACAGATTTCCAAGACAGAATAGATGCAGGCATCAAATATTTCTGGGTTTTATAGCTGATCTAGGCTTCCTTCTAACCTGGGCAAGTCACCTGGGAATCATGGGTTTGTTCAGGACTGCAAAGGAACTCCTTTATCCTTTTAACTCTCCTCAGACCAGTGTCTTGCAGGGTTTTGACAAACTTCAAGGTGAAATGCATGTTCTGCCTGACGCCATTTTCTGTGGGTGATTAATTTTTACTCCTTCTCTGCTTGCACCAAGCCTTAGCAGAAGGGACTGTGCACTGCTCTCTTCCTGAAAAAGCAGGCTGGCTCCTCACATTGGCCCTCCAGGGAGAATTCTGCCCCCCTTGTACCCAGCTGTGGCAGCAGGCCATAAACAGAGAATAACGAGGCTCCGTGTTGTGCTGCAGCCTCCACAGACAAGGCCAGAACAGCACAGATTTAGACATATTTATCTGTCAAACATTTTCTTCTCTCCAAACTCTCCAAAAGCATCTCGAGTTTGCAAGTCTCACTCGAGTTTACTGAATGGTAACTTAAAACACGGTCAGTTCTGATTTAGCTGGTTTGTTGTAGGCAGTAGACAAGCATTCCTTTAGGGAGAACAATGAGCATTTTAAGAAGGCAGATTGCATTAAACCTACTGTTTTCCTCTGTTCTAGTGTTTCCACAAGGACTCACTTACACCTGCTGGAAGGAAATACACTACTGTGGAGCAACTTCATAACTTCGTTATTTCTTACCACTGACTCCATTGAGGGACATGATAGAGTAGGGTTTAGAAGAGGATTACACCCAGATGCAGAGGATAAAAATATCCTCCACTAAGATTATTCTTTCAAAGGGATAATAGCCCTATTTTAGGGTACAAACCAACTGCTAAGACTCTATACTGAAAATGAATTTCCCACATCACTGTTCATTAAGTGTGTTTCACAGCTCTGTGAAACACCCAGTCATGGTTAAAGGCAGGCTGGTGTTTTGTCAGGAATGCTGGTCTGAATCAACGTGGCACTTCCCAAGTTCCTTACATCACCAAAATTATTAGTATTATTCTGCAAAATTATTCTATTATTATTATAATTCTGCAAAACTATTGTGTAAATAATTAATAAATAATAGATGATGCCTATCAGAGATTAAACCCACGAATTTTTACAGTTCTAGCAAAAGGCCAGTTTTCACATACACCCAAACAGTATTATAAAACCTGCTTTCAAGGCTGACTAAAACGCCACCCTTGGCTAGGGATATGTTCTCCAACTGACTCCCAGTACTTTCTATGAAGGAATTTTGTTGCATTACAGTTACTGCCTTGATGTCCTCCACAGCTTCCATGACCATTTTGGTCGCTTGCTTGAGAAATGTGCAATATTTATATTGACTGTCAGGAAGTTGATGCTTCCCACTGAATTGTTTCCCACAGAATTAACACGGATCTAACCCCGCCCCAGCACAGCTGCTCTGTGGGTATACTGGCACCCAGTGGTAAAGAGCCTCAGGTGCAGGCATCTTTTACTTGACCCAGGAAAGCTGTAGTCCATGTCCATCCACTGGAAAATGTCCAACCTCTTAGCTTCCAGTTTAGTTTCTTTGTGCATTTGGCGATGTTTTGAACCATGTTACACTAAATCAATTGTGTTGTTATATGACTTGGAAGAGAAATAATTAAGTGCTGGGTTTTTGCCTGTTCGTTTTTCTTATCTTCATTAGGAGGTGTTTACAGAAAGAAGGCTGAATAGAAAGACATGCAAGGCAACAATGCTGTGTATTATCAATGCAATTGAAATAGTTGTTCAGAGTATTCTCAAAGGACAGTTGCTACAGTGGAGATTGCGACAGTGGGATTTTTATTCTCCTCTGCCAACCAAGTACTCACGGGTGACAACAGAAGACAGAGACTAAACAAGGTTAATCTGCTGGAGAAACTGAATAGAGAAAAGCTTTGGGAATTGTCTGATTTCTTGATTATCCTGCTGACCTAATTTCCTCAAGCACGCTCTTTTTCTCCCTGTCCTTTCTTTTGACATACAATTCTCGTAGAAGATCTAGAGCTGAACTTGATACGTGTTTACGTCTTCTAGTAAGGAAGCTCTGTGTATGCAACTTAGTGAATTTGAAGTGCTTAGGTCTGATCTAATGCTTTGTCAATCAACTAGTATCTTTGACTTAAAGAAGCATTGAATCAGATCTTTATTTCCAATTAAAGTGAAATTACTTTTTTTAATAACTGACTTTTTCCTCTTGGAGAACAGCCACAGTTGGACCCTATGGTAAAAATCCCTGTCCTACAGGAAGCCCATGCTAAAATGTGAATTTATTCCTCTTTGCAACAGACCTTTTTTTCCCCCCATATATTTAGCATTATTTATATTCCATCACTGCTCCAGTATAAATATTATTCCTTTATTTTTTTCCCACATGACATTTTTATTGACTCTGAACTTGTTTCATTCCTGAATAAGTCATTTTAAAGTCTTCTACTGTCCCTTAAATAACCTTTCCTCTCTTGTAATTTCTCCATGTATTTATATTTATCTTTTAAATTTTTCCTTGTCCTTAGTCCTCCACTAATTTAATTCAAATTAAACCCATTTTAATCTGTTCTTTGTAGCCACAACAAGCTCCTTTAGTTGCTTCATTTCTGTTACCTTGATCCAGTTCTGATTAAATGAATAGCTACAGGGAAAAACATCAGAAATCTCCATTCCATTAATAAACATCATTAACTTTCTGTAGAACAGCAGTTAAAAGATGTTCTAGCCACAAGGCTAAGGAGAAAAAAACCCCAAACAAACCAAAGAACACCCGATCTCATTTATTTAAAACAGTTTTATCTCAGACTCTCCCTCTCCATTTGCTATTAGCATGGGATTCTTTTTGTTATTTTACTGGCAGTGTGTTAAGCACAGCAATTTCTGACTAGGCAAGATGCCCATTGATGTCGATGATGTGATGCCAATTTACACTTTGCTGCAGGAACCTGAACTGTCATTCGGTTAGTGTACCAACCTTCACATTTTGTTCCAATTACAATAACAGCCAGAGCTACATTTTCTCTCTCTAAGTTCAAAGTATTTGTCCAGCACTTCATTGCTGCTAATGTAGAAACCCAGGGAGTGTGCTCCAGTTGCTGATTGCTGCGGGCAGATCTTCAGCACACAAAGCAAAGACAATCTCTTCCAGAATTCCAGACCCTCCTGGGGTTCACCGCTTGCTACTGGCACATTGGTTTTAAATACACACTGTCTCTAATAACTCCAGCCCCATCTCACAGATATATTCAGAAGTAATGTCTGCCTCTATTGTCTGGAAATACCCAATTCCTTTAATAACCGTGGTGGTGTCAAAGCCATTTTTGAGTTGCACTCTAATGGTGAATGCCAACTACTAACACAACTGTAGCATAAAGGGGAGAACTTCGTATCTACCTCTGTGCACTTTTGTCCTTCCTTAGCAGCCACCTTCCTTTCCCTGGGAGGGAATGACTGCATATGACAACTGTACCACCACCCGCCAGTACTGGTGATTGGAAAGAGCATATCCAGCCCCAGAGCACTATTTAAGCTTGGTGCAGACAGAGAGCTAGGTACAGGCAATTCCCTTGCCCTGGGCCATGGCCAAGTTGACACTATTCACAATAGGCAGGCTACAAACGATTCAAAACATTTCCTGGGCTTTTCTCAACCCTGGTGCGATTCTCATAGCTCAGTAGCTGAGAAATGCCATGGCTGCAGCTTGCAGGCTTGAGCTACGAGCAGTGGTCATGGCATGCCATCCTGGAGTGAGAGCCACCCCGATGAGAAAAGCCTGGCTACACAGAATAGACAGGATCTGTCCGTGCAGATGAACGAGGATGGGGCTTGGTATTTTTCATGACTCCATTAGCTGGCTGGAGCTAAGACACGTTTAGGATAGTGGCAGTTGCACAGAGGTGAGTGTTTAAGTCTCCTTACCTGACCTGGGATGAAAAGGCAGCAGAATAGTGATGATCGGGACAGCTGTTCTCTCCTCTTCAATTTCTTTCAGGTCATCCTGCTTCCCGGGTGCCGCCTTATTGTTTGCTTCATTACTAATCTGGGGCCGCTTGGCCTAAAATGTGTTTGTGGCTCCCGATACTTAACTAAAAAATGTTAAATTATTATTTAAAATGCTGTAGGCTTCAGACTTGGCTGCTGAATTTTGCTATATTAGTTGATTAAGACAAAAATACTTTCATCAAGTGCTTTATCACATACTTCACAGAGAGCAAAATGCGTATTTATCCATAGAGCATCTTTTCTACTTAGAGAAGCCGAGGCAGTGATGTCAGAGGACAGCAGAAATCATGCTTCACAGGTACAAGAGACTTTCCTGAAATGAAAACTACAGGAAACGTACTTGTAGTTACGTACTGCGTTACTGATAGTCAGCTGCAATGAAAACAGTCCCTTCCTCTCTTTTTCTCCTCTATATCCTTATCCCTCTTTTGGAAGAGAATAGTTTGCTTTTCTTCACCATAATCAACAGTAAGCATACAAACCACTCCTTGACCTTTGCACTGCTGATGGCATATTCATTTCCTGAAGATGATCAACAGTGAATGTAGTTTGAAAGCAATTTGCTTATTCTGACTTTTTTTTGCTTGCAGTCTTTTTGCAGTCTTTACCACTTGCTCTTCTAGGGAAGCACATGCCAACTTCTTCAGTGAAGTCTGACCTCTTGTTTACTCCACAGAAGATGACAGTGCAAGATGTTCCTGGTGCCTTTCCTACAGTGAATGTCCCAGACCATGCCCATTATACAATCGGAGTAGTCATTCTTATCGTGGGGATCACGGGAACTCTGGGCAATTTTCTGGTCATCTATGCTTTCTGCAGGTATCTTTCTTTTGGTTGTTTTTTTGAATACTCAGATTTATGAACTTTATCAGTACTTTGACTGTGCTCTGCAAATGCAGCACTGGCATACTATCAGACTACTATGCTGACATAGTAAAATGCACTGATAGACATTGCTGTAGGAAAAAAAAAAAGTGGCAACCTGCCATTTCCTTCTGACTTCCTCCCATTAACTATAGCCGTGGCAAAATTGTGAGCAGAATTGCAAAGAATCACCCAGATATAGCAAACAATGGCAAAGCAGAAACCTTCCAGTGAATTTTTTTCTACTGGGCTGATGGGATATTTTGCACCTGTGTCTCCCACATTATCTTCTCTATTTTAGATGTTTCCTTCTGCCTGCTGCTTACCACCCAATTTCTTTTTCTCCTCTGTTCCTCACTGGCCATGACTCTTGTTTTCACATTTTCTAACATTTGGCTTATTTCCATTTAACTAAAGCCACATTCCAAATTTTGTATTTGAAGGAAATTGGATCTCTGACAACAATGTGATGGTATTTTCACCATTCCTGTTCACTCTGTTTCTGTTTTGTCACACTGGGCAGAGCACTGGCATGCTGTCTAGGCCAGTGAGCTTCTACTGGACTGGTCTTTGAGCACTAATGTAATAAAACAAAATAATAGCATTTATCTGATAATTTGGTTGAGTTAACTTAAATCACTGGAGTGTGGACAAAAGTAGTCTGGGTCTCGAGCCTGTATTTATGTGGTGCATTAAATGGTAGGTTTTGGTATGTGTGTTCAGCGTGGATACCAACACGTAAGTGTGAATGACATGGCCTTAAGAACAGGAAAGGTGTTGGCATGCAGACCGTGTGTGTGAGGATGCAGCACATGAGCTAGCTTAGCTCTTTGGCTGGTCCCATGGCTGTTGCAGTTCCTCTGGAGGACGCAGCCTGTCTTCATTTGAAGATGTGAAGACGGAAAGGGATAACGACAGCAAAGAAACAAGTACATCACAAGTTCAGAGAACACCTCAGATGCCTACAAAGCAATCTCAAGTGACTGCAAACTGTAAGACTGCCTGAAACAGAAACATGTTCAGTAACTTTGTAGACTATTGAAAAAATACCAGTGGCCCACAAACATCTACTAATAGTATCTCCTTGCTCCTAAAGTGACGGACAGGGGACAGTAGTGCTAGTGACTGATTCTGGATCAGTGCAAAGAACTCATCATTTATTCTGGTACTTTTCAATCGTGTCCAAGACTGAAAATTTGAGAAAGGAACTAAAATGTTACACTGAGCCCCAAACTGAGGAGCTCTCAGTTGAACGTTTATGTGTACCCTTTAAAACACTGTCCTTTAATACTATAAATAACATATCCAGGCAGGATACACCAAAGGCTGGCTGTTGCTCCCTTTAAAGTCAGTGTCTGGGCCAGTAAAATGAGCACCATAGAGAAGAACTGATGTAAACCAAAATGCTTGTTGTGGTACATAGTGAGTTTGCTTAATCCCTGTATTTGGAAGTCACTGTTGATTTTATCAGCAGTGGAAAATTTGCTCCCCTCCCCCTGCTTAACATGACCCAGATGCAGAAATCCACGGAGTACATCAACTTTAATTTCCTGTTAATCACGGACATGCAGTGCACTGGGTCAGAATATTTAAAGAACAATATGCTTTATCCCCATCACTGAGCTGGTTATCAAAACAATCCTCTGAAGTGCACAGGAGTGTAAGGGTGTAAAATTGAGCCTTGCTTATGTTCTTTCACAAGGGAAATGAGAAGCACCCTGCCTAGCTTGCTGTGCAGTGTGCCTTGGTATTTGTGAAGCTGCCAAGGCTCACAGGGAAGAGTAACAACATAATTACCAGTGCAGCAGTGTTTAGCAACATTCCTTCTGCTCTCTGCAGGAGTAGGAGCCTTCAGACTCCCGCCAACATATTCATCATCAATCTAGCCATTAGTGACTTCCTGATGTCCGTTACGCAGTCTCCAGTTTTTTTCACCAACAGCCTCCACAAACGCTGGATTTTTGGTGAGAAAGGTTTGTATATGTTCTTTCTAAGATACCACTAAGTGTGTTCTTCCCATCATGGCAGTTCATTTACTATTTCCTTATCCTCAGGTACACTTGCAATGTTGAGAACATGACATTGTTTCATTGTTGACATAAGTATTTCTTTGAACATTTTTGTCTGTGTGCAATAAATACATTCCCACCGCAGAGAGGAAAATTATGTACATGAGACAGACACAAAGGTGACATTGGCAACAGAAGGCACAGGAGTAGTCTTCTTGCCAGCATTTTTTCCCAGTCATATCACAACTTAGCTACTGGCAGAGTCTTATGACAAAGCAGCACCACCCCTCAACACACCAGCTTAAAAGCCTGTCAAAAGTGAATTCTCACAACAGAAATATGAACTGAACATTTCCTGTGCAGTAAGAAAATGTGAAATGAGGGTAACTAGCTGAGTAAGAGGAAGACTTTGCCTCTTGAGCAGGTATGGACAGAGAAGAAGGTCAGAGAAGTAATGTTGCTATGTTGATCTCTGATGACCAAACAGCACATTTTTTTAGTTCCATGAAGTGTTCAACTGCATACATGTTAAAATAAAAAAAAAATAAACCTCTGCTTTTAATCATTAGGGTGTTTGAATAAATCAAATCACTCATTAATATATTCATAGTCTGCATATTTACTTCAGTTATGCTGACCTTGAGATATAAATGGTTCCATGATATCAAAGTAGCTATAACCCACTGTTAAGCAAAACAGCTGTTTCTATGGGAGCTGCAGCAAAACTGGAGTTAAACAAGATATTAATGGGCTGCTGAAATGATCCCACTAGAAACATCAGAAATCAGTGAGTGAAAATATGTTAAGTATCACTGTCTCCGGCAATTCAAGCAAACAAATTCTTTGAAGTTTATCTCCATGGATAATGTAATTAGCAAGACAGCAGCTTTGAAACAGCATTACAACTGCAGGAAAACTGAAGTTCCATTGCTTTACAAATTCCAGAAGACATTAGTTCACAAGAAACACAACTTGAACTCTCCCAGAAATTAATTAGCATGGGTAGATTAATTTCACTGCTGCTTCTGTCATCTTCATTGAAAGGCTGTGAGCTGTATGCCTTCTGCGGAGCTCTTTTTGGCATTACATCTATGATCACTTTGATGGTGATTGCCTTGGACAGATATTTTGTCATCACAAAACCTCTGGCTTCTGTTGGAGTGACGTCTAAGAAGAAGGCCCTAATAATCCTGGGAGGAGTCTGGCTGTACTCTTTGGCTTGGAGCCTCCCGCCCTTCTTTGGATGGAGTAAGTGATATGGAATAAAAGTTTCTTTCCCTCATAACACTGGATTAAAGACTATTTGCAGGTATCGAAGAGGGTTGAATTAATGGCTTGTATATTAACCTTGAATAAATCAATTTGAAGAAAACTGATAAAATACATCTTGAAACTAAAGATCTCTAATCAAAAGGAAAAAACCCCAGTGTGTATTACAGCGTATGATATGACAATGGCAATTTTGCTTAAGCTTCATTACTTACTGAATAAAGAACAGTAGATCAAATCAAGGCCAAAATTTATGAAGGATGCACCTGCCCATTATCCCATACCTACTTCTGTTGAACGAAATTCAACAATGTAGGAGTCAAATAAGTATATCTGTGGTTTTTCTGATTACTTTTTTCCTTCACAAATGTGCTGTGTAAGACAGTAGTGTCAATCTAAATTTCTTTATTCATATAAAAGAGGAATACAGTCTGAGTATTTTGTGCAAGTACATCTTCAGTAAGGCTTGATTGCACTAGGTGTTGGTCACATTCCCCATTCAGCCACGGGTGTCTTCACTAATGCCTGCAAACTGGAACACACATAAAGCATCTTGATCCTTGCAGCTTGTTACAGAGTTTCTGTGATTCTTCCTTATTAGAATCTGCCTCACTACTGTAAATTTGTTTCCTATGAGTCACCAGTTTCAGTCAGTAAGTTAGAATGAACTAATCATTCAAAATCCCAGCCCATTATTGTGCTCCCTAATTCCAGAAGAGAATGTGTCAGCTCAGCTGAGATGAGAACATAGCAATGATTGATTTTCCCAAAGAATGCTGCAACCAGCTCAGCTTCTGAGTAGAATTTCAGCAGATTTTTGTTACTGTCATTCTGGTCTCCCATAAATGTGAAGCATGTTTAAGCAGGCAAACTGCAATACTGGGAGAAGCAGCCTGTACTTGAATAAGGAGCGGTTAGAATGAAATGACAACATAGTCGTAGATTCTGGATTCTTAATTGGAGAAGGTAGAAAAATTGCTTGAAGGGTGTTATCTTGTAATTAGATTCTAATAGTACCCACAGTACTCACTCTCATATGCTAATCAGATGCATCTGAGCACATCTGGTGCAGTATTTTTAAGAGTTCAACAGAAAATATCACTGTAAACAGTGAAAATTAAAATATAAAGGTAAAGGCATTGCTGTTGGCAGTTTATTTACTAACAGTTTGATACAGTTCCTTTAAGGAGATTATATTTTATTCCAGGCAGAATATCACACATGTATGATTTTTTTTTACTTGTACTCAACTTTACTTCATGGCAAAATTAATTTGATCTGCACAATAAATCTTTCTTCTTTGCGCAGTAAATTTCTTTTAGCTGTACAAGCTTAAAAAAGCGGAAGCTCTGGGGATCAGTTTCATTTCACTCTCTGGGCAGACAGCAATTTGACAGGAAATGGAGATATTTAAAAACAATATGGGTCTGATCCAAGACCCACTGAAATATTTGGAGAGATGCTCCTTTACTATGTTGAGCTGTAAACAATATTCAAGAACTGAAACAAAATTATTCAGCTTTCCAATCTGAAGCCTTACAGATAAATTCAAAAGGGCTTCAGAGAAATTCCCCTTTAAGAGAAGAGGACAAAATCCCTCGTTATTCTCTATCTTTCTCTAACTTCTGCACTCAGAATGAGAATGAGACCCCACGGCTTCTGCCTTCTGCTGTCTTTCTTTCCAGGTGCGTATGTTCCCGAGGGTCTGATGACTTCCTGTTCCTGGGACTACATGACTTTCACACCGTCAGTCCGTGCCTACACGATGCTGATTTTCTGTTTCGTCTTTTTCATTCCTTTGATTGCTATCATATACAGCTACGTCTTTATATTTGAGGCTATCAAGAAGGCCAACAAGTAAGTAGCCGACAGTCTTAAGATTCTATCCTTCTGTTTAAGTGACTGCTTATTTTCTTAAAACAAAGACCAACAGAAGAAAATTGGAAGGTTTTTCACTTTTAATTTGTATGCACGACTGAGACAGGAAATTCTGTCAACAGTCAGCACAGTAAGAAGTATGATGCTTTGAAGGGCCATTCCTGAATTTCAGCCAGAGCTTTTCAGTATATTGTCTAACAATGCAGAAAAGGGTATGAGTAACAGCCGTAGAATCTAAAGGATGAGAAAGGACTGTGGAAATTAACCAGCCAAAAGAAGTACTAAAGGGACATCAGAGACACCTAACAATAGTGTATCAACAATTATTCCACAGAAAAATAGATGGAATTGAAGTACAAATTCCATGTTTAACCAAAGTTGAAAAAGAGGCAAAGCATTTAACCACAGGCCTCTGAAAAAAACCTACTGTTGTAAAAATAAAGGGCAGTGTTTGCCACTACATTTGTAATCTCTAAGTATGTCCTGTAGATACCAGCACGTGTATTCACAGAGCTCACAAGTACAGAGTAAGGCAGCAAAACTGGGCCTACAGAAGCAAAGGCTTCTCTGACTATATTTAACATTGTTCAAGTGGCTTAAATACCTGATTCATGTGGAAATTCTCCTGGTACAGGACTACTTTCTTCTCTGAAGCACCTGTGAAGTTTGCCATGGATAGGTACAACAGAAGTCCACTGAATTGTGAAGGACCAGTCACATACATACAAGTAAAAGTGCATGACTTCTAGAATAAACGAGCACAAGAGTAATTGTTGTCCCATTTTATGAAGCAATCTGCTAAACTCCGTGCCTCCTTTTTTTGCTGTTGTATGTTTATTTCCCCTAGGTCTATTCAGATATTTGGATGTAAACATGGAAATAAGGAGTTCCAGAAACAGTATCAGAGGATGAAAAATGAGTGGAAGATGGCCAAAATCGCACTGATTGTCATCTTGCTTTATGTCATTTCCTGGTCACCATACTCTGTTGTTGCTCTGGTGGCTTTTGCTGGGTAATTATGAATGTATCAGTAAAGGAATATTCAGTGAAAGCAAAAGGTCTGAAAGTGTAAAAGACAGATGCAAGTCAAAGCTACTTGTCAAGTTTAATATCTGAAGTGCATTCGAAACAGTCACATATTTAGGAATAACATTTAACAAATGAAACACATGCTGTGATTTTTTTCTTAGTTTGACTTTAAAAAAAAAGAAAAAAGAAAACAGAAAGGTTATCATTGGCAGCATAACGTTACTGTGCTAATGATTTCTGAATGGAGGTTATCTCGCTAGTATATTTAAAGTATCTGAACTTTATTTAGCAGCAAAATGCTAAATAAGGGGGGCAAAAAGATCCACCAGGTTTGATTTTCTTTTCTTTCTCCATTTCTTTTACTTACAAAAGTCTATTCATTCTCTTGTGTTACATCAAGCTGGTGAGCAACACAGTTTCACTCAACTTTTTTTCCATTTCTGAACTATGCCTTTTAGGCAATCCTCCTGGGATTTTTCAGAGATTAACAGGCCAAGCCTGGAGGCCTTCTGTGGACTTTTATTACAATGAACTCAGATAAAATCACTGCATGCCACATACGGGAGGCAGACATGGAGTTTGTGGCAACAGTCCTCGACTAAAGACAAGTCATCTGACAGAGCAGCAACATGCACAAAAGGAAAGGAGAACCTTAATTCCTTTAGAAAGTATTTTGGATGGGGAACACTGAGCTAGCACACAGTCACACTCACTAATATTGTTGGTCTATAGGTTGTATTTTTTCGTAACGGTTAGCTTAAACAAAAGCCTTTGTCACTGTTTGTTTCTGTTAGCTGAACTTTTCATCAGTCTTACCAAAGCACTATCTCCCTCATCTCAGGGTCAAAAACTCCATTCCAGCAAGGTCATACTGTTGTGTGTTCTCCAGAATCTGTGAAGAATTACACCTCTAACCAATGCTTTGAAAGTATGATTAGGAGAAACCATGTTAAAATTGTATATAGAGAACATGCTTATCAAAGCAAAGCCTTAAATTAGAGGTGATGTGGCATCTCAACATTCAGGCAGCCGACAAAATGATTCCTCTAGTACCACTGGCAAACCATTTCCACCTCATCACAGAGCGTCAATATTCCCACAGTAAGATGAAAAATTTCCTCACCAGGAAGATGAGCTGTCCCCTATTTATGCAATCCTCTTTGTGGTTTGCAGCACTCATATGAGAGACCTTCTGAGAGAGGCTTGAGAGGAAAACCTGTTTTCTCCTCTAATATTACGGGAATACAAGGCTAACTGAAAGATGGAGCATAGACTGTCTTCTCAGGAAGAAGTGCAGTGATAAAGAAAGGAGGAAGGACTGACTTACCAGGCCATTTCACTTAGAACTCTTTCTACCAGCGCAGGAAGAGGTCTTCACAGCCTCTAAAGCAGGTCTATGGAGAATTTGCCTGGTAGAAACTGCCTATGAAATGTTATTGTTATTTTGGTCGGAGCTGTTCTACTGACTTTCTTCTGACCAAGACCTTACAGGCTACTTCAATCTATCTTCAAAAATTAACTGGCTGATAGCAGCATGGCAGATAGACATCAATCATAATTATTTTATCCTTTAGGGTCACATCACCTGCATATATGCATGGTCACAGTAACACCTGAGCATAGCATGACACCTGAAAATACTTTCCCTTCACTGTTCAGTTCAGATCAGGCAAAAAGTAAAGTTTGAATAGGAAAAAAGATTTATTAGTTATCTTTGCCTATAACACCTCATTCTGCACACCTATTTAGCGATATATTACTCAGCAAGTATATCTGCTGAGTTTGGAACAGATAGATGCTCTGATGAATCCACATTCGCTTATTGAAGGCTGACTTTGTCCCTAAGGTAAACAAAATGGGAATTGCTGCTATCTTGAGTCATAGTAGTGAAGTGCTGCAAGAGAAGCCCCAAGAAAATCATGTTTCTCAGAAATGCAATTAGGCTGGTGTTGATTTTTATAGGCAAAGGATGTAAAATTTGTTGTCTCACTGACTGGGCACAGAACTCCCCCTTTTACTCTCTCTGGAGCACTAATAAAGCATTGTCTTGTCAGTGCATAACTGCAGAGACTACAGAGAACTCGATACTAAATATATAATGCATTTGCATTACTCTAGGTATTCCCACGTCCTAACTCCCTTCATGAACTCCATACCAGCTGTGATTGCCAAAGCTTCTGTCATCCATAACCCCATCATTTATGCCATCACTCACCCCAAATACAGGTAAGTTCACTCTTACAAGCCATGTTTAATACAGCAAAAAAAATCAGACAGTAACTTGGTCACTTTTAGGACTAGTACCTGAACTCTGCTTCACCTGCTCATTTTACCTCTGTAAGACAGCCTTGCCCTCCCGAAGATAACTTCTCAATGCCATATAAATGTCAGTGGAATTTGTACTTGGAACAAATTACTATGCAGATAGGAGTTAGAGATATTTATGAATACTGATCTGTGCTTACAGATCACATGATAAAAGATAGCTTCCCACCTCAAAAAATACATTTTTTATCTATCTTCATGAGAGACGCAATCACTGTCAGTGTTGCAAAGAGCAGTTTGTTAAATTAACCAGGCCAGCAAGAGATGCAATTCCTTAAACCAATCCACCCCTTCCCTATTTTGTGCATTCTCTCCACCTTTCTTAAGCTTTCGTATTTCAGAGAGTATTTCTTCTGAGTTGTAACACTTAGGGCCATTACCAGTTCAGATGCGGGCTATGAGATCTGACAGAGAGCAGCAAACCCATATATATGCCGTTGTTTCACCCTTTACAAAGACCTACTCAGGAACTGGATAGAGAAGAACTGGGCATGAACATCTAAGTGGGGAAGTCTGGGAAGAAGAGGAAAGCTAGGCAGAAGTTTCCTTACACCACATATGAGGAAAGAAATACTGTAATATAACTGCACGTTTTGTACAACTCTACAGATAGCAGCCAGACAGATGTGTAAGAGGAAGCTAGAATAGCTGCTTAGGGGAAGATTAAAATAATTCATTATATGGTATTTCTGCAAGGTTCAATTTAAAGGGACAGAATTTTATTTTTGCCCTGATTAAGCTGAAAGCAGATAAAACATCATTTTAATAGCTCCCCTCAGTTCGAAGAGCTGTATTTTAATGCCCTTATCCCTGCCAAGCAATAAATCTGAGTTCTGCAGAACACTGTGAATAAGTGATCTTGCAGCGTGATTATATATGAGCTATTGGATATCTGGAAAACTCTTTTTGTACCCAGTAATTTTCCAGTCCATGCAGCATTAGTTCATGTCTCTGAGTAAATGTATTGTTTACGATGACCGAATTTTTGTGCTAACAGAAAAATCCTGACTGGTTCTATCTCTCATCCATTAGAACAGCCATTGCAACATATGTTCCTTGCCTTGGATCCCTGCTGAGAGTTTCTCCTAGAGACTCCCGGTCTTTCAGCAGCTACCCATCCTCCAGACGAGTGACTATAAGCAGCCAGTCTTCTGATGTAAGTGGGCCACAGAAAGGAAAAAGGTGACTCCTCTCTCTGACAGTGAATCAGTAGGGGAGACACTTCCCACACACCATTTCTAATTGCCAAGTAATTAATTTTCATATAGACTCCTTCAAAGTGGTAGATTCTTTAGATGAAACGCATTCTGGTGCTCATTACAAGAGCTCCAGAGAAAGCAGAGGGACAATGTGAAATAAAAGACAGAAGGCTGAAGTGTAAAAGCAGAATGTAGATCTTTGTGTTCTTGCTGGTTGGTGTCACTGAGGAAGAGTGGAAAGATGGAACAACAGGAATTTTAGAAAGTAAGGGAAGCTCAGAGTCAGAGTGCCCTTGAAAGTCTGATCATGCTTCTAGGATGTACTTGTCTGACCATAGATTTAGTGTGGAAACGTGTGAAAAAGTTACTAAATGGTTTTCTAGTGAAAGCAAGGATGTAATGAAACAGATACTGTTTTCTGGAAGTGAAGTGGGATGTATGTGGAAACATATTCATCTTTAGACAAATCAGTCAAGCCATTACAGAATCAATCTCACAGAAGACCTCAACATCTTGCTGCTGCCAGTCTGAGTGAAACCAAATGTTCTGCACGGCAGCTGAAAACAGGGCAAACATTTGGCATCCCAGGCAACCTCTTGCAATGCAAAGTTACATTACCAACTAACTAAGCACATTAGTTCATTGCACTTGTTTTAAATGAAACTTCCAAAGGTATGAAAAGCCATCATTTTCTTGGTGATTCTTTTTCATGCAATGTCTGTCTTTTTTATAATTTCTGTCTAGGTAAAACTGATTCTCATGGGGAAAACTGGATGGAAGTCTAAGGAACCCAGAGTGATTGTTTTTGCTGTATTCATTTTAGGGCTGTACTGACACAGAAACTGATACCCCCAGCATGTTCTCCAGACTTGCTAGCAGACAGATTTCCTATGAAACGGGTAAAGACACAACTCAAACTAGTGACATAAGAGCCAAACATAAGCTGAGGAGTCGTGACTCTGGGAATTGTGAGAAGGTAATAGACTGCATAATATCTAAGTTCTCTGACAACTGGTAGGTCAACAAATGTGCAGATTTTACCATAATTAATCACGAAGGTTCCTGCCAGGAAGATGAAGATAACCTATGAGTTAATACAATGAGTAATGACTTAGAGGCTGTAAAAGGTCATCAGCTTTTTATTTCCACCCTGGTTCATTATTCAGCTGTCTTTGCTGTATTTCTGACAAGCAATGGTGCTGGTTTAGTGAACTTAGCATCTGAATGGTATGTTGTCTTGTGTTTGGTTTTAAGTGAGAATTCAGCAATATTTGTATCCCACTGTCCAATTTATTTGGTCAACCTTTCTGTTGTCTCACAATTTGCTATCAAATGAACACATATGGTGAGAGACGCTGTCTTTAGGATATTATTATTTTTCAGTCAGTCTTCTCTGTGACCCTTTTTAAATTTTTCCTATTTGCATTTTATGTATGTAAAATATTGTGACATACCTATATGTCATTTGTATCTTTCTTATCTGTGTTCATTTTTCAGACAGCTGTAGATGCTGATGACATATCCATGATGGAATTGAATGTCACAGAGTACACTGCTACACTTACTGTAAGAATTATTTTAATAATTGGCGTGGGTCTAACTAGCCGAGGGAACAAAAACTAATGACAATTCCACTCTCTGAGCACAAATTAAATTATTTTTTGAGATGCGAAAATGATATTGCCAGCATAATATAGGAAACATGACCACAAAGGGTAGATCATTGCTGAAATTATGCAGAAGGAGAACACATGTACTACAGGGTTCTTTTAAGTCCAACTTCTTCAAGGAACTTGAATACTTTCTTGAATTCCGTAGATCCCCTGATGAGGTCTGTGATTTCCTCTGTGGAGCACGGGAGCATTGATTTTTTTTCCATCTTTATATGGATAATATACACAGTAAGATGAGATAGCCATTCTGATAGGTGTATCTCTGAGACAGCCACAGTCCTGTGGCAAGTACTGCTGTACAAAGTGACAGTTAACTCTTTAACGTTCTCTGTTCTGGGTAGCAGCAAACATCTAAAAACTGCAACTTGAAGGAAATCAAGGCAAGTTTTTGAAACCATATCACCTATTCAGCAAGATGTTGTGATGTCTATTTCTTCTTCCATGTAACAAAGCTACAGCATACTGATAAATCTTTTCTGACATCTGCCACAAGTGAGTCAACTTGCCTTAATTCCCGACAGACAGGGAAATAAGAGAGAAGAGTTGACAGATGAAAACAAGCCAGTTTTATCTTTGCAGTATTAACCCCAATGAAATATAAACATCTCTTTATTGTTAGCAGGGATCCTTATGTGTTAGCCTAATCCTAACACCATCATTTTTTGGTCATGTGCAAGTGACAGCTAACATTGCTATTGTCAAAAAATGCTAATTAATCTTTCCCTCAATTCCTGTTTCCAATTTATTCTCTAGTTTGCTTCACCCTTTGAACTGTTATCACTACATTTTACATCACCTCTTGTACCAACAAACCTAAGCAGTGCCTCTTTATGGGGGTACTCCTTACCTGATTGAATTCATAAATTGCCTGAGCATATTCACAGCACTTCTGTGCATAGTCAAATATGCTGTCATTAGCCTGGTCTTTTATCAGAGTAGACCAGCTCTTAAGTAGCAAATGCAGTCTGTGATTTAGTACATTAACTTGTTTAACAGTTTTTTGCTCATAAGTTATTAATGAAATACTAAAAAATGTGTTCAGATCTACTTTTTCCTTCATCCTTTGTTTGGTTTTGAGTTAGCCATGGGGTTCAGCAAAGGGCTTATCTAAATATATGCCTCTGTTTCACACATGATGCAACCTGATGTCCTTATAGATGTTTGTGTTTTCCATTTCTTTTAAATCCTTGCATCCTTTAGAGAGGTGAGAGCCTGAATGATATTGGACAAAGAAAAGGAGAGTCTCACCACAGACTTTCTGCAGCCCAGATACCCAGCATTACAGTAACATACAGCAGTGTTCAAGGAACAGAGCAGCCTTGTGGATACAGCTCTGGTTTTCTGCACCCTAAGATCAACAGCCGCAAGCAGAACAAGAAGTCCAACAGCTAAGTGAGCCACGCAAGCCAGGCTGTCACCTCAGCCAACACCTCTGGGACAACTATGGACCAGCTGAATCCAGAACAACTTCCTACATTGTTCTGAAATGCTCCTACAAAGACACAACACAAGACAAGCAAGAGGAGTAAGCTTTCCAGCATCAGAACTATCTCCAGTGGTTCACTTCTTGATCTGAGTGACATTGTAATTTTATTCTTTTTTCTTTATGCAGCTCATGAAACAATTTCCTTCACTTGGATTTTACTCTGCTTTACTCTACTTCCACCACTGCATGGATCTTACTTACAGGCCTCCGAGGATTAACTTGAGAGGAAAGGGAAATAGGAGATTCAAACCTGGCCTTTGTTCACTTTGTGTAGTTTAACTTCAAAGCTATTACAAAGCTAAAGCTGAGAGATTTGGGGGAAAATGTACATTACTTCCTGAAGACAGTTTCTTCATTACTGTGAAGTTCCTCAACCAAATGAAAACTCAATCACACAGTCAGTGCTCCCTTCTCTCATTAACAACCCATGTTCCCTCATTTTCTTCTACAATCCAACTGAAAGGCAATACAGTTGAGCAGTAATTTGAAGTCTCAGATCTTTGTCTTAATTTCTGTGATTCTGGGGGAAGAGACAGGAATAACTCAGAGGACAAGGCTATGGTCCTTTCCACACTTAGCTTCTTTTTCCAACAGTCACTTAAGAAGCCAGTTTAACCCACTCCTAGCTAACCTCCCCAGAGCTATAGGAAAGTGTTAGGAAATTCCTTCCAACTTTCCTTTAGCAGGCTTCATGAGAAGAACGCAGAATTCAAAGAAATGTTTGTACTGAAATATCTTATGGATAAGTCAATCTATCTGCCTTCTAATACTTCAAGTTGGTTTACCTGTAGACATGCTTTTCTAAAGTAAATCTTGGGAGAAAGGTTAGTTCTTCAAAAATAGTTGTTCTAGAGATGTGTGGAATCCAAACCATTCCCACTCTAGCATTTTAATTTTCCCCTTCTCTAAACAGCAGCATTCATATAGCTGAGGTTTGTTTCCACAATGACTAAATCCATGAGACTGTACTTATTTCCTCCAAAAGTAAAGGAGTTCTATGAAACAGTGATTTTCTGCTTTTTCCTGGTGCATCTTCTAGTGCGTGAGAAGAAATGGACAAAATTCATTTGCAATCCATAGCAGTCTACATCACAAGGATCATAAGGTATAGTCAGTGGGGATATATACCTTCTGAGCCCAAAAGGACAGGGCCCAAAGAGCTACTGAAACAGTACGTCTCCACGGGGCCTCTAGAGGCTCGCACTTTGTTGCAATAAGGGAGGGAAGTAATTTTGTCCTAAGTAAAACAGTTCTTCCCTATGTCACATCAGAAAAAGACATAAAATCAATAAAAATATAACCAGCTTATTCCTTTGAGGGGAAAAAAAAAACCCCAATCAATGGGTTCTGGAAGATTTGGGGCATTGTTTTGAAGCAAACTTTTGGAAACTTACTTCAAACTGAGGTTTATTAAAAGGAAAATTACTAAAACTAAAAATGAAGGTGATAATGACTTCTGCAGCAGCCAAATATTAAATTATGAAAAAGTGGGCTGTTCAGGCTGGTAATAAACTGCCAAGAGAAACAAACTGTTCAAAATCCAGGACGTTTTATGTAAATAAGGTCATACACATTAGAGATGGAAAGGAGCTATTACAGTTCCTTCCTTCACCTACCACAACCGGATATTGTCTCCAGGCAGAGGACAATATTAAACTGATAATATACACAGCTAGCAATAAGGACAAAGAATAGAGAAAACCTATCTTCAAACAGGAGGTACGTTCAAAGATACTCATCAAGTGTAAGGAATTTTATTATGACTTATTGCTTAGGCTTTTAAACTTATTTAAAAACATGAAGCAGTAATTCTTCCCATCCTTTGTCATGAAGGCCATTCACACTAGTGAAAACTGGGAAGAAATTAAATGCTAGTGAATGCTGCCCATTTCACATGGGTCACAAAAGGCTGAGCCTGTCCAGAAAATAGCTCAAAGCTCACACAGGCTGTTTCATGTGTTAATAAGAAGTGCATGGTATGTGCCATTAAGAGCTATAGACCCTTTGCTTCTGTCAAGATTTTGTTCCCAAGTAGTATTCTTCAAGACTATACTCTGCACATTTCTGCATTCCCTTCCACTTTTAGAGGGTATAAAAAGAATACTTTCATGGCTAGAAAAGCCTCACGAATCCACAGCACGTTGTTCTCTATATCCTTCAACTCCAGCATGTACTAGAGATTAGTTTGTATCTATAAAAAGAACTACAGCTGTTCATGCTCGTCTACTTACAAGAGGCTTGAAAAGCATATATTAATTAGGGAGAATTTGTCTGGGAGCACTTCAAAACTCTTGTGTGTACACCCCGTGTAACTAACAGCTTTGCCTTCCCTTCACCTCTACTCAGGCTATAAAATTCATCTAGGGGAAAGCCTACAAAATTCATTTCACCTGAATATTTCTCCAAGTGATTCACACTGTAACCCCAGTGGCATTTGGAATAAATCATTATTAGTTCATATTTCATCTCAGCAGCTTTATTTGTGTCCTGTATCCTCTACTTGGCAGCCATTCTTTCCGCTTTGCTGTCTCTTTACACCCGTTAACACAGATGACTGATTGGATTAAAATAATTTAGGACTGAGATGATTCATATTTCAGTTAAAGTCAACTGTACAGCCTGTTCTGCACTGGAGAGACTGTCTGTAGTTTACCATGCAAGTGGGTATGTTCCAGTGACTTGGAGGTGTGAAAGGACTAGGGCAAGACTGAGGTGTTTCCCTTTGGCCTTTTGTAGGCCAGGAGCTGTTCACAGAGCAGCCTGCTGGCAAAGAAAATAGCAAGCAGTGTTGGGAGTTAACAGACAAGCTCTTCACCTCCACAGGCTCAAGCTCAAATTCGGACTTGCATCACAAATGAGAATGTCTGGTCTGAGCATCCAAGCAATTCTGCAAAAACTGCTGAGCAATTGTCACTACTGGTGGTCCTGCAAAGAAGGTGCCATGAGCCAGTGTAATCAAAGGCTGCTGCGAGTCAAGATCGAAGTACTGTTGCATAAGGCAGCAGGCACAAGTTGCCAATCTTTCCAATTTTCCCATATTGCCAGGGATCTCAGTCCCTATGTTTTGCAGGTTACAGCCTCACTTTGGAAGCTGTTTTGCATCCCCCACTGGACTAAAATGTGGTTCTTGGTTTCTGAACCAAGAAGATGGTTCAGAAATAGACACAAAAATCTGAGACTACGTCATTGGATAGCACAAGCTCTCCCATGTAAAGTTTCATAAAGGACATTCCCTGAAGAGGCTTGGGAACACTTATGGGCATGCTTACAATTGCTGTATGTTTCCCACTGACTGGAAAAATAGAATGGAAATTCCATACCCTTCCACACAGTGCCATGCCCAAAGGGTCACACAGAAAGTGACCCTACTTCTAACATAACAGCACTTCCTCCAAAAGCCCCAGTAAACACATAACCAGAGAATAGAATATACCTCAATGTTTTGGGTATATTTATGCAAGTTCACTTAAGAAAAGAGAAAAATAAGAAAAACAGGTTTAAAAAAACAAACCAAGAAAAATTTCCTCTTTATTAACCAACAGTTTCAGATCTGAATTTAGAAGTTTTTTCCCAATGCCACCGCTCAGCTTCATCCTGTTGCGCAGACTGCACAGAGCCTGCTCAGCTCAGTCACGTCTCCTAGAGATTCCTCTCGTTTTCCCTACTCCCCGCACTGAGTGACCAGTCCATTCTTCATTAGTTAAACCACAGAGCCAGAGGGGAGGCCTTTGTCTACCCTTCCCAAGGACCTGGCATGAAATAGCTGTTTCTCACCTCACTTCTCCATGAAACCCTGATCTCCTGAGCGCACATAAGCCCAGATCTCAGCTCCCTTGTTCCAGGCAGATCCTGAGGTCAGCATTCCTTGTCACTCACCCCAGACAGTCCTGGAACAGTCCAGCTTTCAAACCCTCCCAGCAGTATCACCATCTTCTAGCTCTCACTAGATCACACTTCTAGGACCCGCTTCCAAGCAGTCCCCAATGCCCTCAGGTACCAAAGCCAGCAGTAATTAAACACAGTCCCCTCCTGGCTTTTAAAGAAACCATGTGTGCTTCCACCTTAGTATGTATACAGATGGAGTCTGGGTTTATAATAATCCTCCAACTGTTATTTAAAAATATGAATCTTTTTGATGCTGCTGTCCTCAGCTGAAGTCTCTGAGTAACAGAAGCACATGACAGAACCCTTAATGTGTACTGACACATCTTATTTGAAGTGCTGTTTTCCAGATACACTGGTTAAAACTCACTTTCTGCTGCTGCTCAGTGAAGTAAGAAGAGAATTTAATCTGATGAAGGACAGAGTTGAGGTAGTAGCATCAGGCAGCTCAGTGGTTGGTCATGTTTACTGCATAGGTGATTCCTTCTGAAAATTATTCCCCTGAAAAAGAAAAAAACCACACCAATCTTTCAGGTCCTGGATCATTATGTTCTGTCAGATGAGAAATAAGTTTCATGCAGTAAAAGCTGTTCTCTTTGGACACTGTTGAGAACATTAGTTTTGAATGAAGAAATTAAAAACATGAAAACTCCATGAAACATGTGAAACTCCATTTCAGTAAAACACACCCACTTAATTCTTGCTTTACCCCAAATTGTCATGGGATGGGATGGCCAAAGGCAAAGGAAGCAAAAAAGAAAACACCATTCAGGATACCCATTAGCACTGCATCAAAATAAAGTGACTGAAAATAAACTAGGGAATCCTGAAGTGTTGCAAAACACAGTAACTTCATATGAAACATGCCTCCTCTCTTTCCCGTTGTGGGCCACTATCAGAAAACGAAGAGTTACCATCTTGTGTCAGATTTCTCCTTGCTTCTTTCACTGACTCAACCCTCCTTGATTTTTTCGCATGTGTAGGAGCCAGACCACAGTGATTTCAGAGACAGGGCTAAGGAGGCCACAGCATGCATCTGAGCACTGCGCCTTGCAGATTCCCTTCATTGTGCTGTTTCCTGAAATAGAAAGAATCCCCATCACAGCTGAACCTGCTCCATTTTCACTGGGTCACAGCACAAAGGCAATCGCTGATTAGACCAGGTCATGAACATGGCAAGAGTGTGAGGTGTCTAAATTACGTGTATAAATTACAGCTTTTCAAAATAAAATTACACAGTTGACTGTCCAACATCATTGGAAGCCATTTCTGGGAAACCTAGGCTTTTGGGATTAGATAAGATCAGTGCATTTCTTTTGCCATAAGATGGTCAGGGCCACATGCCTTTCCACAACAGCCATACAGGGAGGAACGGCATGATACCGATAGGGACTTAACATAATGATTCAGCCACATGAGGTGGATCCTGCTGAAAACTGTTTCAGAGAGATGTCATTTCCAACCCACTATTTAAGGAGAATTCTCTGAACAGAAAATCATGACAGTTAAACCACTTCACAGGGATCTCAAATTAGTTCTGGATTTGTCAGTTAAAGATTTTAAAACAAAACAAAACGCCCCATGGCAATAAAACAACATCTCTTAGTAAGCACTTTGTGTCTTAATGATTACTTGCTTAAGATTTTCACAATATCAGTATTTCTTCCCCAGTTTTGGATCTTTCAGGATGGGAGACAGAGATTTAAAAAAGGATCCTGTTTGTGCAAAGGAGATTCAATTGAACTTCAGCAGCTGAAACCCTCTGGAAGTCCCAGCCTAAGTACTAACACTACAGCCCCAGCTGTTACGTATTCAGTACAAATTACACTCAAAATATTGGTTGATTTGACAAGTCAAGAGGGCACCATAATGTTTCTGTTTCAATATATGGCTAACTTGTAGGCACTTGTCTTTCTCTGCTTCCTCCAAGAGCTATTGGCTTGGTTCTACTTAAGAAACATTGGTTGCAGCAGAATTAGTTGACTTCAGTTATAATTTGTCTGTTATTATTTCACTTGATCTCTAATGTGAAAGATCTCGTCAAAAGAAAAAAGCTCATCACAAAGCACACATCTGTTGGAACTTTCATTCCAGTCCCTCTACAACTGATATCCAACATGTAAAGGAAAGGTCTGAGGAACAGAATAAGGTAAATGGCATAAGGAATAGACAAAGACATTCCCGATGACTTGCCTGGAAGCTCTGTTCTTGTTAACTAGTGCATTCCTTTCAACATGGGGGAACCGAATCAGGTTACTCATATAATGGGGTCCTGAATTTGTATCCTACTTGTCCCTCCCTAGGACACTGACACTCACCTGGAAAGCTTGGCTGACCCTAAACAAACTTTTTATTATTGAAATTGCCAGTAAAGCTACATACTAAATTAATTTGTTTTACTTATTGTGATTGAACAGAGATAAGTCGAGAACATTTTTGTGACATCGTTTGCTTTTCTCTACCAGTCCTTCATTCTGCTTACTGCATGAAAACTGTGCAAGTGCAAATGACATAGCCAATCACTCGGTTCCCATCCTACGTGAGTTGTACATTTTGCATCTGACCATCAAGACATTCCTGATCTTTCTTCCTCTCAACTGAGAAAAAAATCTTCCTAAACACCTTCCAAACAGGAAAAAAAAAACCACTTGGGACAACCAAGCTAAATCAGCTTACCCTGCCCTTCTTGCTTTGAGTTCAGTTCCTCCCTTATTCTCAGCACAACTGAAAACACTAAGAAAGGAAGAATGTGTGAATGAAAACTGAGATGACTTTGGTTAAACCATTATTAAATAGCCAAAGCTCTCATCTGAAGCAGTTGTGTCACTGTATTTTGCTGGAGCATTTGGCCACAGTCTCCTAACTGATGTTAAGTAACAAATGTTTGCTTTTGCACATATTCTCTTGTGTAGATTTATGTAACTGGCAGGACAGATTGCTAACATAAATGTATTAAATGAAAACTGTTGTGATAGGACTCAGTCTAGTTTGTTCTATTCCCCTTTTAACAGACATGCTGCTACAATAACAGCTTACTACAGGTTATCTATTGAGGTGGTGGTGCTAAACAAATTTACTTTATGCTTGAAGGACCACAAAAAATTCTGTAGGATGTTGAAAGGTGGGGCACCAACATGCTACCCCTTGAAAAAAACCATACTCCAGCAGTCATTCTCCAGTGGCCACCAAGTTTATTTTAAAATCATCACCTTTACCTGCAACTACGAAGTGGCCAAAGCATTACATGTAGATCACTGTGAGAAAAGCCATTGAGCCAGTTCACATGTTCTATTTACAGTCAAATGAAAAATTCTCAGGACAGTGTGGGTCATTTTGCCCCTCCTTTTTTGTCTGATGCAGTGAATGTATCAGCAGCAGAGCAAAATATTTGTTAATTCTGGTTTGTTAAAGTCGGTGAGCTGGGAAGTCTTTCTTCATTTGGATAATCTAGAGGTCATCTATCCTTCTGTAAACACCTCTTTTAAAAGGCTCTGGGAATGTATATTTTAGAGCTCTCACAATTTTTAGTGCGCAAGGGGAAGCAGTGCTTGAGTTAAGCTCTTATTTGGAAAAGCCTACTGACTCACAGTCTTCTGAGCTAAGTTCATCCTAATCTTCAGATGTCACAATTAAAATTGTTTCGATAAATCAATAGGCTCAACTGAACAAATCATCAGATCAAGGCACCGAGTAATCAAACTGAATAAGACCGATACTCAGCTGACAATACTTTGTGGTAAGTATCAAAGATAATCAGTTCTGAGGCAGAGTATGTCATTAACTCCCTCCGTGACCTTGACAATTCAACTTACTGCAGTGCCCAAGTTTATCTGTAAATGGGCATGTTGTTTACTCTTGGAGTGCTGCAAGGCAAAACTAGGAAGGTTTTGCATAAAGGTTGCAAACCGTAACCTTTTTTCCATACTCCAACAGAGGATTAGCAGTGCCTGTTTTAAGAAAGATGCAATGGTGGATTAACCCGCCTTCAACCGAGAGATGCAGAGAGACAGAGTGAAACAGGTGGGAAGAGATTCACCGCTCCCTTCATACGAACAGCATGCATTTACGACTGAATACTTAGAGTGGAACAGTGAGATAGAATTAGGAGGTCAACATTTACTTAGACAAACTAATTGAAACCAGATCAATGCTTAAAGAGAATTCCAGTTTTTCTTCTGTCTAATATCGGAGCACAAGATTTGTGCATATTGTGTAGTCAACACTGACATTTTGAGTCTGGATTGGCCCCAAGTATGAAAGCAGCCTGGGTTATGAGTCAAGCTGCATTGCTGGGGCTCATCCTGCTGACAGTCCATCTTGAATTACTTACTGCCATAACCCTGGTTTTACCCTCTACTAGGAATGTGATGCTAATAATGTAGCTCAGGGAAATGACAAGGAGGTTACCACATGGACAGCCTTCTTTTTTATGTTTGAACAAACCTCACAATGGTTTATTGAACTCTATGCAACAGCCTGATGTTTTGATTGTTTTATTTGCTTGTTTGCTTGTATACG